ATATAAGACAAAAAGAAGACCGATGGAACAAAATTCTTATAAGTTGGAGACCGTGGGAATATATACGAAGCAGAGGAAGGCCCCAAATGAGATGGGCAGATGATATTAAGAAGCACGTGGGCTCTAGGTGGATCACTGTAGCGACAGACAGAGAAGAATGGAAAAGGATTGGGGAGGCCTATGTCCAAAGATGGACCGAAGAAGGCTAATTAGATAGATACATAGATAGATCTTGGACTCATACCTTGTTTATACTCCAACAATTAATATAAAAAAGAATAGCGGTTGGTACAGGAGTACATCTAGCCTTCATCGACCCAGAAAAGGCGTATGATACAGTTTCAAGACTTAAATTGTGTCAAACTTTACAACAACTCGTCATTAGTCCTTACCTTTAAGGAATAATCACAGAAGTATACAGGGATAACACTACTTACCTAAAAAACGGAAATAGACTATCAGAGCCAATAAAAGTAACTAAAGCACTAAGACAAGGATGCAGTGTATCACCCTTACTGTTTAATTTATATATTGAGTCAGCCCTCCAAAATTGGAAAAACCATTGCCAGGGAATAGGACTCCCCATATAAAATAACATACTGTTCTTCCTGAACTTTGCGGATGACCAAGTCGTCCTAGCCAGAGAATATGTAAAATGGGGGTTACAAGTTAGCATGAAGAAAACAGAATATTTAGTTGTCAATTCAGATGCAAGGTTTGAAGTGTTGATAGACGAGGACGTGGAAATCAAACAAGTGAGAAAAATTTAAATATTTAGGTGCACTCATTGATAAGAACATCTTGGTAGAAACCGCAATTAAACACTGAATTAATTAGGGACGTAAAATTGTAGGATATCTGAACTCCTTATGGTAGGATCGCAACATTTTCAAAAGAAACAAAAAAAGAATAGAGCAAATCATGGTTAATCAGTTCTTTGTTATGGCTCCGAATTTTGGTCAATTAATGCAGACTTGAAGAGAAGATTGTTGGCAGTTGAAGTGGATTATTTGAGAAGAAGTGCTAGATCACCAAGACCAACGAATCCATAAGAAATAACATGAATGCTACAGGAACGGTCATTGACAGAATAGAAAGAAGAGGTTTAAAATGGTTAGGACACCTATTGAAAATGCCTGCATAACGTTCGCCCCAAAAACTTCACAGATGGAAGCCTCCTGGAAGAAGAAAAAGAGATAGATCTCGACGCTCGTGGAATGAAGAAATTAGAAGAGCGATGGAATCAAGAGGTTTGGCGGAGGAGCATGCCCTGGAACGGGAGGATTGGCGGAGGAGAACGGGAATACGGCGATAGCCGTCTCCAAAATGTATTGTATTTACAAGTTGGATCCTGTAATATAGGATAGTTCTCATTCCCTGTCGACATATGTCCTGTCTATTTTAGGTTTCACATTTTTACGATAATGTCGCTGTCATCTGTTCTTCTCTAGATATATTACAGGTTTCAAATGCATCACCATAACGTTCCGATTTGGCGCCTGGTGACCACGGGTTGTCCCAAAACTCGAAGAAGACTTTAGAGGAAAATAATTTTCGACCAATGATGAAGTGTACTCTAAATGGGTGGTTTTCAGATGGGACAGTCGAAATTTCTTCCAAGACGCTATCAAAATAATTAGAGTACCAATGAGAAAAGTACGTCCAACTTAGAGGGGCACTATGGTGAAAAATAAAGGTTTTACATTTGCTTCTGAGTATTATATTTAGATTAAGAGTGAGCCATATAGATCAGCACTTGCATAGTACTTCAACTTTAACTAGTATTTCTAGGAAACTACATAAATAGTTACTAGAAAAGCATTATCAAAAATTTATTGAGAAAATAGTTAAAAGTGATACCAATATAAGGTTTTGCCTATGCAGCAATGCCTGTGGTGAATTGTAAAAAAATGAATAATAACTAAGACGAGGAAGTTTGAATTTCTGAAAAATTTAAATAATTTGTAATTACTTAAAAATTGAAGAACTAACGTCAATAAGCTTATTTAAAAATAACTACAGCCTGAATTATTAGCAATAACAAGGTATTTTATCTCTAATGTTCGTGAATAACAAAACACAATTTATTATGTCATCTGTTCTAAAAATACGTTCAAAGTGTTCATAAAAATTTAATGAACCATGTTAGATCTAGATTGTGATTAAAATTGTTTCTCAGAATGGCTGACTTGAGGCTTCTATCAAAAGAATTCGAATCCTTATAATATATACCTGACCTGAGCTCATTATAATTTTTCATTCCGATGGAAAGATTCTTAATAGCGCCCTTTCAAATGGTTTTAATTATAAGCTATAATTCGAGGAGACAAAAAAAATTCGTCTATTATTAAATGGAAATGATTTTTGTAATGACACGTTTGTAAAATGGTGGACAGCCGTCAGGTAGGATGCCTAATGTAATAACTGGTTTTTTAACGAATTGTATGTAATTAAAAATTAGAAATTAGTAGAACATGGAATTATCTCTGTTTTAATTACGAGAAATAATTGTTTTGAATATCTAATTGGCATCTAAGCGGATTTTATAATGGATTCTCACATGACTGCTTAAAAAAAATAAAGTGAATATACTCGTATCAGGAGAGAAATGTTAAGAAGGTCAAAAGAAGTTCACCAATAAATAAAGGTAGAGTAAAAGCTCTATACAAATTGTTAAAAAAGACATGTGAAACCCAGATCTTAAAATTTAACATTTGAACTACACACTTATATGGAATCACCCAGTATTTTCGATTTTATAAAGTATTACTAAATTTTTTTAATGGAAAATAAAGTACATTTTATACTAAACCAGTTTAATTACTATAAAAAAAACAATCAAAAAATGTTACAAATGCTTGAAATTGACAAAAATGCATAAAAACACGAACAAATGAAAACATTGCAATGGTTGACTAAAGAAAGATAGGTACAGTCTTGTTGTTCATTTTAATTGTCAGTGTTATTCTTGGGGTAAATTGCCCATTCTTCTAGAGCAGCTTGAATGAACAGACCCGCATTACCTGGATTATCCCTTCGAGCTCTAATCCTTCTTTTAATGAGATTCCACACATGCTCAATGGGATTAATATCATTCAGTATTTTGGTTTCATTTGGGGGACATTTTGCCAATCTTCATTTGTCCAGTTCTGGTGGTCTAGACACCAATTCAGCCGATCAATTTGGTTCTGTCTGGATAACTCGGGAACTCTTAACTGCCTCCTGCTAAATAAATTTTGGGAACGAAGTCTCTTTCGTGTTGTTTCAACTGAAATGTCATTACCTGTAGTCTGCAAAAGTTGCCTTTGGAGATGCGGATGAGAAGAGGTTGGATTTATACTAGCTATTTGACCTAAAAACCGGTCTTGTCGATCACTAGTTACTGCAGGACGTGTAGCGTAGCAGAAATTTGCCTTTGTGGCATTCCCTGCTCAACAAGAGCAACAATTCTGCCCCTCTGAACATCTGACAAACCTATGTAGGGCATATTACCTTTTTTGAACACAAACTTAACTTTATTCTGACATCTAGGTTTTACAACTTGACACAAATAATAAAATTTTTTAATGTGTACTTGATCAAATTTTATCAATTATGAATCGTATTTCCAACGGTAAGTTAGAATATTCTATATAAGTTAAAGACCAAAGAAATTGACAAAACTAGATATATGTAAAACTCAAAAATAAATTGATAAAAGAATAAGATACTAATGCATTAAAGGTAGTATGTAAAAATACTCTGAAAAAACATCAACCGTTAGTTTTTAAAAGAAAGAATTAAACAAAGAATCCGTAGAAGAAGTTAAGAAAGTCGTAGCAGTGATATACAAACTCACCTGCGAGAAAATTTGATGGATCAAAAGAAGTATAATATTTCCATGGAGTATCAAAACTAGATAGATATAGACTGCTGATGTTTTTGGGGATGCTGAGCATTATTATTACGACGGCAGTGGTATAAGATTACGACTACAAGGTATCTGGTGCCCAAGGTGGACCTCGTCTCCTAGAGTTTCATTTTAATATTCTTAATCAGTCTACAGTTATTACTCGGGTGTATTCGAGGTTTCTTAACACAAATATTTCGTTGATAATTGACCTCAGAATACCTCATGAAACTTTATATAAAACTTTAAAAATTATCAAAAATATTATTTTTTACATTTGGCGCTTTAAGCAGTTGGTAGTACTGATGTGCCGGATGATACATATTATAATCTCCCCTGTAGCAGCTCCCGCCCATTACTGTCACATGTGTTCTTATACCTATTCTCTCACAGGTACTAGTGGATAGATATCCTCCAAGATAGGGCGTCAGGTAACTCTAGGACAATTTTCTATTGATTTCAAATGAAATTATCACCTTCGCTGTGCCATCAGTTGAAAAAGACTGGTAACTACGTTTACAGAAATTACGGCTAAAAATGCATTTCCATCTGGCGAGTAACGTACAAGCAAAACGCGTTGGTAACTAACATAGGTATTTATAATATTATCTGAAAGATATCTATCTGATAGAGGGATGATTTAGTACCAGTTGTATTCGACTGGTAACGCATACAAGTTATTTATTTTTCATTGTTGGAGTTCCAGATGAATTAATTCATCTGGTGAGTAATTTTCATTTGTTTTACCAGTTTAGTTTAGTTTTCTCGGTCGAGCCATAATTTAAAATATTTGTATAAGAATTGAGTTAAATGAGTAGCACTGTTAAATTAGTAGATTTGAAGTTGAAAAATGCAACTAAAAGTGGTAGTTGTGTAAACCTCAATCAGAAATTGGACCGGCACCAAGAAACAATTATAAATACTTTGAGCGAAGCAGAGGAAGAACCATTTAGCGACAATTTGGACTGTGATTCTAATTACGTTCCTTATGAATGTTCAACTAATGCTATAATGACGAATATAAAATCAGTTTCGAGAAAACAAACCCGAAGTACCTGGTACCGAAAAAAGGCGAAATTGTATGGAATGTTACAAGAAGCTGAGGGAAACAATGAAAAGTAAAGAAACTGATAAAAAGATTATTAAAGTTACTACATCCTGTACCATATGCGAGGAAAAACCTGCTTTATGTGTAGGTACCATGTCTTAATTTTAAACACAATGCATAAATTTTAAAACTTATACTTACTAATGATTAGCATTTGTTATTTTTGTAATAATATGTATTTTATTCTCAATAAAAGTTTTGGTTTTACTTTACTTGCAAATAATATGCACTTACTTCTTAAAAATTTCAGTTTTTGCTTTACCAAAAGGAATAGCCTGGTACTGATACAGTTTCCAGCAAGTTTGTATGTTCCTTGTGTGTATAAAACTATTACTACACATAAATCTTTAAAAATTTAGAGATAGATCGATTTCTTAAGTACTACCAGTCTATTGCGACTGGTGTATCTAAATACAGAATTTTATAGTACCAGTCAATTACAACCGGTAAGCATAAAACATAAAATTGAATTTTTCGTAATCGCAGCGAAGGTGTTAACAATAAACTTTAGGAGACGAGACCCACCCTGAGCACCAGGTAGCTCAAGCATCATCGTCGTTATTGGATTCGTGGGCAGCGACTTCGAAAACTCATAAGTAACAAAATTGAACTTGTTCCTGTAGATTCTTTCAGAATTGTAACTTTTTCATTTTGTATGCACTTTAGAAATGCGTTTTCCTTATGCATAAAATGAAATCTTCATTTTGTGATTTTTATTTGTGAACTTCATAATTACAAGATTTTGTGCATAGACTGTATAATGACAACGATTAGATTACTTAAAAATGAAGTTTTCTTTATTATTCTAACACAATTTTACGACTTTATAAATAAAATCTGTAACATTCAAATAAATTAGTTTTTATTCCTACGTATAAATTCGATGTTTTCTAGAATATGTTTTGTTTCAACTATTCGCTGAGAAATATGAATCCTCATTGACTAGATACGTATTTAGTGTAGCATATAGCGAATCTACATAAACACCGTTCGATTCAAGTTGAAACATTCTTAATCCTCCTAATGAATCGATGCGACATGGGCACGAAAATTAAATTTGTTTGCAATTTTAGGATTAATAATCTGGCGCCATCTGCTTAATATTCTAAGCCCTAGCACCTGTGCTCCTTCATCAGCGAGAGGCCGATATCCCCTTAGTACCTCCGGCCCATAAATTTCGTTAAATCAGTAAAACTGCGTGGCATTCACACGAGAGACTTCTTTAATGATGCGTTTTATGTTTTCGCGCGACAGACATTATTTTAATTCGTTTACTTGGCCGAAAGCCAAAGCCACATATTCAGTCGCACACATGTTTATGCTACGGCGACGATGAAGACTTTTTTTTGTGAGTTGACTATTTCCCGAGAGCTACATGTGTGATAACGAACTTATTTTCAAAATACCACCTTCACGAAAATAACCTGAGACATTCCCCAACGGCAATAATTAAGAGTTCCTGATGCTTTATTAATGTTCTGGAAATAACGTTATGGTTAAAAATATATTGATGGCCTAACCTTTTTATAATAAGTTTTGAAGTTTTCGAAACGTGTAATTATACTTCTATCCTTATTAATTCTCAGACAAAACCACTAATGACTTTAAGCTTTGACAGTATCGCTCTCAAACAAGTAGCTGTACTTATTTACATCATACAAATACGGAAATCTTCTTAAAAAACTTTTTAGAAACATCAAAAAAATTTAGATTGCTTGTATAGTTTTAACTGAAAAGACAATAACACAAGATTCGTTTTCCAGCTGGATCTTGATTTCCGAGAATACAAATTTAAACATTCCTCTGACAAACACCCAATATTTTCGCTGCACACATGCCCCCGAAATTCTAAAAGCGAAATACTTTCGAGAAACCTTTCCTCTGGGACGTTACACCGGCTGCTTTGATAGACAGCGCCTTAAACAAACGTCAGCTCCGGAGTGACACTTGACAATCGTTTATTTTCGACCATGGTAATCAGCTTAGGCCGTGAATAGGCAATTCGTCTGACAACTGACAGGCACAGCTATCTTCATAACGTCGATTAACATAAAGTTACATGTGTTATTTGAAATAGACAATGGGGGATATAAATTTCAATTGGTTTGAAAAGTTTGGGAAATATTTATGAAGCAGATTGTTTGTTAATGTTCGTTATTAATTCTTGGTTAATAAGGGGATTGGCGATTTAATGTGAATTTTAAGATAGACAGAAATTAACATTTTTATTGCCTATATATGTTTAATTGTTGATTTTTATGTATAAATTTAAATATTATACAAAACGTTTTAATTCTTTTTAATAAGATTCAGTCACATTAAACAAGTTTATATACAAATTGAATAATTGGTTATGATTCGCATCTTGGGGACAAAGATAAATTATTAGAAAAATAATATCCTGCAGTAAAAATTTTGACGTTTACTAATGTTTAAGGCATGCTCCATGCCCTCTATTATTTTTTGAAGTATATTATTTAAATTATACCGAATTAGGAAATGCATTGCAGCACAATATTTGTGGCGGAAGATTACAATGGTCTTTGCCGTTACTGTCTTGTTTCAGTTTGTACACAAATTTATAAAATAATATGAGCATCCCGATAAACTTCACATGCAGTACAAATAAAATACAAATGAGCAATTCTTTATGGTTGAAGGCTCAGTGGCCGGGAACTTGCCATTATTTTACTTGGGGAAATAGAAATCCTTTTCTGCATCATGATCATCATGACTAAATTCGTCATTTCAATTTTGTAAAATTGCTAAATTATCAACAATGTATTTTGGAGGTGGCTTCAATCTGAGCAACAATCTGCAAAGCTGATTTTAAACAGCTAATTAATAATTAATAACTTAAAGCTAACAAAGGTTATTGTTAGTTAACCAATAGTTTATTTACTAATGTTGACATTTTGGAATTAAATCTCACTAATTTTGTTCTAAAATGGACCGAGTTTAATTAATAGTAAATAATAAAAACCAATCTGAAGTGACAACACCGCAGCTGTCAAATAAGTGTTACCAATTTATGCCAAACTGACACCTTCGTTCGATCGCAGTTAAAGTATGATCCGGACAAGTTTGCTTCTTAAGAACGCTTTATAATCCACTTATACAAATTCAATTAAACAAGTTATGATGTAATAAAAATGAAATGTATGATGTGATAAGAATGAACATAACATCAAAACATTTTCTACAGGAAATCACCGAGAAAAAATTTAATGTAGAATCACTCTGGAACGACTCCACAAGAGAAATGTACCAAAGGAGGCAAGCACAGGAGATACAGCTAAAGCAACTAGACGACATCGAAGATATAAACGCGAGCTGGGCAAAAATTAAAACAACATGAAGGAGCAGCAACAGAAGCTTTAGGAAAACACAAAGTCATACTGAACACTACCCAATGGTTCAGAAAAGAAATAGAAGATAAATGTAAAGAGAAACGAGAGGCCTACATGGCGTACCAAACATTAAATACTCTAGAATTCCGAGACACCTATAGAAGAATACGAAATAAAACAAAGCAGTTGGTAAAAACAAAAAATGAACACTGGGAACAGTTTACAAAAAGGATGGAAACCATCGGAAATAAATGGCAGAATTGAAGGAATACAATAACATACCAGCAAACGAATGAAATTTAAGAATCGTACTGACTGCGCCAATTAAATAACTCGTTTTTTCATTTTTGAAGAAACTCAAACTCATTTTTGAAGAGGCTCTAAAAGATATTGATGAAGGCATCTCAATAAATGGAGTCAAGCTTAATAACCTGAGGTATGCAGATGATACAATAGTGTTTTCCAATACCATAGAAGGGCTGCAAAACTTAATGAACAAAATAACAGAAACAAGTAGAACCTATGGACTGGATATAAATACCAGCAAAACCAAGCTAATGATCATCAGCAAGCAACACATAACTGGAGCAAATCTGTATGTGAACCAAATGAGAATTGAACGTATCTCACAATACAATTACTTGTGAACTATAATCAATGAGTCGTGGGACAATACCCAAGAGGTTAGATGTCGTATCGAAAAGGCCAAAAGTGCATTCTTGGCTATGAGCTCTGTGTTCAAAAGCCATGACCTCACCCTGAAAACAAAAATAAGGCTCCTTAAATGTTACATGTACTCAGTGCTTCTGTATGGAGTAGAAACGTGGACATTGAAGGCGGAAACTCTATCAAAACTTCAGGCGTTTGAATTATGGTTATACAGAAGAATCCTGAAGATACCAAGGACAGACAAAGTCACCAATGAAGAAATACTGCGGAGGATGAACACAACCGTGGATTTGGTCAACGTTGTGAAGAGCTGTAAGCTGAAGTACTTGGGACATATAACGAGAAATCAAGGCAGAATAATCGCCAACGTTCGGAACGGACAGGCATCCTAAGAAGAAGAAGAAAAAAGATGGTGCGACAATTTAAACAATTTAAGAGGCTAATATTGAAGAAGAAACAGGCTTTAAAGCGTACATACAAGAAGGAAGAAGAAGAAGTTATGATGTTTTCTTTAAGGTTACATTAATAGAAATCTTTAAATATTATTTCTACGCGTATATAATAAAATATTTCTAATAAGTGGCAGTAATTCCAGTGTACTTGGCTAAAAGATTCTAAGAAGGAACAGACGTACACCTTAAAAAATTTTTGTTGGTATCATATGACGTCACTATGGCGCGGATGAAGTGCGGATTTATACTGTACCAACTGTAGCATGTGATACATCATTTTAAAGATTTTGTATCAACCATAGGTACTTTGTGATAATTTTCACAATTAAATAGTCGGCTTGTTGAAATGGAGAAGTTTTTTTAATGATATAATAGCTATCAATGCATTGCAATAGTTATTATCGCAATAGAAGTAAAAAAATGATTTAGAAATAGTATAAAACATGTATTGTAGTTTACCTCCCGTTATATATTTCTTTTGTAAATAAACTATTTTTTACTAAATCATTTTACAAATAAATAATATCTTTCCTTATTAAACTATCAAGTAACAATGTTAAAAGCACGGATTCTCTTATAAAAAGTGCGAACAAAAACAATACAAACCTCTTGACTCCTTCCATTCTAATTGTCATTGCTTTCATCGCTTAACGACCCTTCTTCTGTTCTCAGTCAGCAAACCGCGTGTGTTTGTGATTCTGGTAATGACTACAATTCGACGGAGAACAAACAACAAACAGTTGAAAATCGGAGGTCGACCCTAATCTGATTTCTTCCCCTTTGCCAGTGACTCATTAACCCCCTCTAAACTGCTCACCCTCGCTTGTTTTTGCATAAACGACACGCCGGCACTGCACTCTCACACGTTACAACACCCGCAAAATTGCGTACAGTAATTAGACTTTACAGCGGCGTCCAAAAATGACCCCTGTAAATGCTACGTATCACTTGTAAAACTAATTTCTTTAATAGCATTTAAAAATTAGTCAAAACACCGAAGTGTTGCGTCTTAAGTTTTATCTCCTTAATTTATCTGAACATCTCTATTACTAAAAATTTCCGAAATTAATTTTGTTTTTCCTTTTGTAACCAAATGTTCCAGTAATTTTTATTGCTCCAATTAAAGACTTTTACAAAAATATTCTTTTCGGGTTTTATTCGTTCGTATAAAACTTACGTCCGACCCCTACTGGAGTACTGTGGAACAGTTTGGCGCCCAGAATGCCCCAGAATTAGTATGCAATAGAACTCTTCTCGAAAATGTCCAAAAGAAAGTCACCAGACTATCTTTTAAACGAAGAAGACCAGATTACCCACAAAGACTTTCTTTAGCAGGGTTACCAACTTTTGAAGCTCGTCGACTCCGTGGTGACTTGATTATCATCTTCCGAATTTCAAAGTTTGGACATGGACATCTGCAGCACTTGTTTAGTTTAGATCATCACAGCAGACTACGTGAACTCAGTTTAAAACTGAATAAAGAATCCTTTTGATGAACTAGGCGCCAACATTTGCTGTGTAATCGTATTTTTAGTATATGGAACTGTCTCCTAACGGAAATTATAAATTCCCCATCTATAAATTATTTTAAAAGCCAACTAGACTGTTACATGTTTGTAAACTGAACAATACTGTATACAATTTGCTAGTTTATAGTTTATTTGCGTAACTAATTATTTTGTAATGTTCTATTTCTTTATGTACACTTTTCTTGTAAATGGGCTTATGGGTCTTCATGACCCCAGCCCTTATTACTATGTAATAATAATAATAATAATAATATCTTCTATTTTTGTTTTTCTTCCATAGACTCGTCTATTGTATCTCTTAATGGCCTTCCTGATCTAACTATCTTTCCTCTGATATAAAAAAGGGAAGTTAAATATCATCAAGCAAATAGCAGTAAACAACGAATACAACGAACAAACAATTAATAAAATGTTAAATCAAAAACTACACAAGAAAGCCCTGAAATTAGTATTTCCACCACCAGAGAAAAAACCCAGTACCTTCTGCTCGATTACATATACAGGCAAAATATCAACAAAAATAGCCAAATACATAAAAAAGAAAGGAATAACACTAGCTTTCCGAACAAATAACAACCTAGCCAAATATATCAAAAACAACAAGAGCCAAAATAAAAAACACTTACACATTGGTGTGTACAAACTTAAATGTGGCGACTGCCCAAAAACTTACATCGGTCAAACTGGTAAAAACTTTAATAAACGAATAGCAGAACATAAAAGGGCTTTCAATAAGAGAAAAACAGATTCTACACACGCACTCCACCTTCTAGATCACAATCATTCCTTTAATGACGAATTTAAAATTCTTTACATTCAAAATAAAGGCCTTACGCTATCCTTGTTAGAATCTATGGAAATCAACAAATTAAAAAACACAGATATAATTCTGAATGACCAACTTGAGACAAACTGTTCTCCCCTCCTCAACCTATTTCATTAGAGGCTATAAAGTGTAAACGCATGCCAAAAATAGATCACTTGAGAAAGGCAATCAGCCAAAACAGCTGTAGTGATAAGAGGTTAAAATAAATTTTGTGGAAGTTTGAAAACAAAGTTTTCAGTGTTTTATTGTTACATAAAACATGATCATATTAAGTATATAGTTGGTGGTCATTTTTATATAGAGTTCACATATTTTTTTCAATCTGACTAAATAATTTATTAATTTAAATAAAATTTGAAAGAAAAATAAATTCGTTTAACACATTACCTACTTACTGCAACCATTTGATTTTATTCTTTCATTCTCATCTCAAACAGTACTTTAAATTTTAACGCACGCGCAGGTTATGGAATATGTTCCTCCGTGTGGTCGCTCTTAAAAAATGTAAAAACTTTTACAAACCATAAGAATATACATAATTTGGAATTGTTTTCGGTAAAATGAATGAGGTATATTAATTAATTTTTCAAAAAAATTGCTTTAGAAACTAAAATCTTTATCGCTTTAAGTTCACTATGGTAAATACTAAATGCGATATTGCCCAAACGATTAAAATTTCGGAACAAATGCTCTTTGACATATAGTTAAGAATTTTCTTATGATTTTTTCCGAATTTAAATTTAAGATGCTAAATCCGAATACGATATTCCTTTTCGGTACTAATGTTTAATTTTTGATAGATAATTAATTTAAGCAAATCTTACTAAATCTCATCAAGGCAATTCCGCTCACTCGCATATCGAATCCATTTTTTCTAAGCTAACCTAAGTACATGGAATCTTATCCTTTTTACTACAATCATCTAATTCTCGATATTTCGGTCACTAATCAAGTTGACTTTAAACGAAACGGGAATGTCAATTAGAAACAATTACAAACCTAACTTTTTTTCATCTTTTAAGGGGGAGGTAGGAAATCTTCATAAGATACCAGGGCCTATTCCTGATTATGTGGGATTCTCTCATCTCCGCTGCCCGAGCCTGGCATATGTGGCGCACCCAATCTCCGGGGGGGGGGGCAGTATCTATTGACTAACAGCTACACCCTCCGTTCTCCCAGCCACACTATAATCTGTGAGTTCAAGGTAGGACTGCTCATTATATCTTCAGCGCTGCACACACCCCACCTCTCATTTGCTGGTCGTCTCTTCAACGTCCGCTCACTCTAGAACAGACTAATGGAGTAGACTTCTTGGCTCCTTAAGCGAAAGCTGTGGAGGAGCTTCGCGATGCTTTCACGCCGCTTATTCACCCGATACCGAGGTATATTTAAGTCGCCACCCTAATACCACACCTGAAATATCTCAGGCTACTCTCCCCAATCTTCTTAGATGAAGTGTGTCTTAGGTCCGGTAAAAGTGACTTGGTTGACTGAGCCACATCCTTTATTTCCTCCTATTTTACTTGCCACATATGTATAGATGTGGCTCTCGTCTCATGCCTCGCACTTTCAGTCACTCCGCTATTCCGACTTAACGAGTCTTTTCACAAGCCCAGATGTGGGTAGGAACGCAACCAGAGATAACTTAGTCCTGCCGCAGATACAACCCTGTAGGTGCTTGCTACGCACAACAGACTTGTTTTGTCTGTGCATGTCAAGAGCCTCGGGTAGTACGATATTTTTATCGTCTCAATCCAGACCGAGGCCAGGCGTAAATGACGATAGATTGTACCACACCGTGCAAAGCCCTCCGTCTTTCAGACATGCTGAGCATTATCTCCTCTTCCCAAGAAAGCCGTGGCAAACCTAACCTAAAGAAACTAAACCTAAACCAAACCTTTTTAAACCTCACCAAGTCGCCTATACTCGCCCGCTCGCACCTCAAATTTTATGTTTATTTTAAGAGTATTTTATCAAATTTTCAAAGATTCTGATCATTAAAACGTCCAGCTAAATATCGCATGCACTTATGAGTTGTCGCTTATTCAATAAAATAACCTTACCTTAAAAACTTTGAATCGTGCTTGGCTAATATTTTTTCTTCTCAGTGTGCTATACTTATATTTAGGCATAAGCTAATCCCCTGCATATACTTAATATGTCTTGTGTATCCTTCAGTGTACACAGATATAGGAGACCCAAATTTTAACTTCAAAACTTAACGACTAAGTTTAGAGCAGCTACTAGACAATAGACAGATTACGACTTCGTGGTTTATCAGGGCCTTTGAAACGATGACCTTGGATACTTTTTGACTTTTGTAGCGGGAAATCAAGCCCACATCATTCAGCACCAAAGGTGAATACACCCATCCTTGATCTACTTAGGTCGGTTAATATTTACTGGCACCGAAAAACGGTAGTCATTTGTGTGTTTCTTTATCTCTAACAATATGTCATGTCCAAGATCTAGTACACGCATGTCTTTGTACGACCATATCTATTAAGATATTATTTTTTCTACTTAATTCGATAAGATGGAATTTCCAAAACTTAATTTATAAAGTTTAGTACCTATGTTTAAAGTATATTAAGTACTTATATAGCTTAGTACTTTCTAAGATATTAAAAAATACTATTTAGGTTGAAAGGATCACATGAAAGAATAGGCAAATGTAAACAACAAAGGTGTCCGCTTTTATTTTTGTATACATATCAGCTTTTTTATATTATATAGCAGAAACAATGGCGTCAATATAGCAAATAATATTTGAGATTAATTTTTTTTATTTGTAAATGTATGCATATGTATTTTCTTCAGAAAGAAGACAGCATTTTGCAGGCATATGGAATGCATAATTTTAAAAGTTCGTATACAACGTCATCCTCCTCTCAGGCTGCCATCCTCACTATTATAATTAACAACAACCTATTCTTTCATTTGGATTCAGTAATATTTCTTTTATACCCAAAATTATTTTTATTTCGTCCAATACTCATAGTAATCAAATCTTATTTTTAATTAAAATTATTAGAGGTGTGTTACACGGACAATCGACACACCCACTATCAAACGACTATTCCAAAAACACTTTGATCCAAGTTTGTTTAATTGTTAGGGCCAATTTTAGGTTTTTATGTTTTTTATTAGATTGTAATTACTCTAAAAAGCATTGAATTTCTTGATTGTTGCAGGTGAAGCGAGTAATGCGAGTATCGGTAGCGGGGAGGGCACTGGAGAGGAGGACGACGATACGAATGGAAAGAAAAATCAAAAAAAGAGAGGCATATTTCCCAAAGTAGCAACAAATATACTCAGAGCGTGGTTATTTCAACATTTAACGGTAAGTGGACCCTACTCTATAAACGATATACTCCTCATTGATTATCGACGGGGTCAGTTATACTATAGTTTTTTAAATAATGTTTATTTAAAATCTACATCCATATAGTAAATAAGTGACGTGTGTTTTAGGCGTGAAAGGGAACGTCCAATGTTGTTTGACCTTATTCTATTTGGGTTATTCTTGAAGTTGATCTTGTGCCAGCTTCTATTTAGTCTTATTGTGGCTGGACCATTGTTGTGCAGTTCCCTTGCTAATTTATTGTTATGGTTTATTGTGCGTTGATTTTGTGACTTCGTAGCTCTTTAGATTTCGTCTTTGATGAAAGGAATCTTAAATAATAAAGTGCATCATTCCTTACGTACGATGGTGCATTTACTGTCGATCTTAGTGTTTTAGACTGTACTTCTTCTTCTTCAGATGCAAATCCACTAATGGATGTTAGCGATCACATTTTCCATTAACTCTCTATTTCTTGCAATATGTATCAGAGATTGTATGTCGTTAATCCCTGTCCATTGCCTTATGTTTCGGAGCCAGGACATTTTCTTGCGTCCCATTCCTCTCTTGCCTTCAATTTTACCCTCGATTATAAGTTGGAGGAACTGGTATTTTTCATTTCGCATGATGTGACCTAGATACGCCGTTTTCCTTTTCTTGATGGTTTCGAAAAGTTGGCGTTCTTGGTTTATTCTTTTAAGGATATCTATATTTGTGATTTTCGCTGTCCATGGTATTTTTAGGATACGGCGATAAAGCCACATTTCGAAAGCTTCCAATCTGTTTATATCTCTCGTTTTGAGTGTCCAGCCCTCTACGCCATATAGCAGCACTGACCATACGTAGCACTTAGTAAACCTTAGTCTCAGTTGAAGATCGAACTCAGAACAAGTCAGTACCTTCTTGAATTTTACGAAAGCTTGTCGAGCTTGCTCAATGCGACATTTTACTTCCCTGTCCGATGCCCAGTCTTCAAAAAGCCACGATCCCAGGTATTTAAATTTACTCACTCTTTCTATGGATTTACTATTCAGTGTTATGGTGGAGTTTTCAAATGCATCCAAGTTTCTGGAGATGATCATGAATTTGGTCTTTTTGGTATTAATCTCTAGTCCCATTCGCTCACTGTATTCTCCGATTATAGTGACAAGTTGTTGAAGATCGACTATGTTGTCACAAATTAAGACACCATCATCAGCATATCGTATGTTGTTGATCAATACTCCATTCACCTTGATTCCCATCTCTGCATCCTCCAAAGACTCTTGAAATATGGCTTCTGAATAAATGTTAAATAAAAGAGGGGAAAGCACACATCCCTAGACTGTACCCGTTGGATGAATTCAATGATATAGGTTTTGCACAGTCCCATAGGTGTAGTCTGTAGTACCAGATAAGTTTAAGTACCGCTTTTATATAAATTGATTTTGTTTTGAATGCTTAATTTTGATGGTCGTCCTAGGAACCAGTACATTTGCTGGAATTTTAAGTTGAGCTGCCTTCTTTTGGTCTACATATATTTCTTACAAGTGAAGCGTTGGTCAAGATGGAGGATAAGGTATTTTACCTCTGTTACTGTTGGTATGTATAGATTATCCATTCTGAAAGATGCAAGGTGTTGTGACGTTTGGTAAATATTATTTGGGTTTATTTTCTTTTGTTTACTGTTGTTCGCCATTTTGCGCAATAATCATTAAATAAGTTTAGGTGATGTTAGATCTTGAGAAGCTTGTATGAGAGATTCGTTTACAGCTAGTATCGCTAGGAATCTCACACTGCTCGGCTAGAATTTTTAAAAATCGGTCATTGTACGGCCATCTGTTAAATAAGTCTCAAACTGCTTCGCCAGAATTTAGCCGTAAACTATAGGGGCCTAGATGCGCATTAGAACTGTGTTCATCAAACGTACACACAGCATGAAACATTACCACTTCGTGTAATCAAATTTGGTACACACAGTTTCTGGTAAACATCAACTGTGTACCAGAAATGGTACACGCAGTAGAAAAAATGTTAAAATCTACATCCATATCCAATATCCAATGTTGTTTCATCTTATTCTATTTGGGTTCTTGAAGTGGATCTTATGCCAGGTTTATGTTGTGGCGTTTGGTATATGTTATTTTGGTTAATTTTTCTTTGTTTATTGTTTTTCGCCATCTTGCGTGCCAATTATTAAAAAAGTCTAGGTGATGTTAGATCCCGTGAAAGCAGCGTCCCGAAAATACTAACCCGTGGTAGTCCAACCCGTTTTATCATCGTTTATTTAACGAATCTATTTGATATGTAGGATTTGAGTAGGAGGAAATATGTAGTTTCTGGAAAGTATGATTTTTAATTATTAGTAGAGCAGGTCTCTGTGACAGACGTTGTTAAAAGCTTGAGAAATGATCAGGAATATAGCGTTGCAGTATTTCTTTTCTTCAAGATTTTTTGATTTCAAGATTTTTTGATTTTAAGATTTTATTTCATTAATTTACTTTTCGATGGATTTAGTGGGTTTCTCGAAAACGAAACTGATGTTTTGATAGTAATGTAGGAAGTCGTGATCTGCGTACATTGTTTGTAGTAGTTCATCTTTCAAAAACTTTGCTTAGGGTAGGTAGAAGGCCAATGGCTTAATAAGATGTTACTTCATTAAGCTCTTTTTTTTGCTTGGGTATCATGATTATTTCAGTGAATTTTCGTATTCCACTGCTTCAACAATATGTTGTGGTTCTGATTGAAATCCTCTTATAAGATGAGCAGCAAAGTTCTCCGTTTTTTTTTTGTTGCTCAACTTCAGAGATAGGTGATCTCTCATTTTTTTCGATGTACGTAACTGTATAGGCGAGCTCCCACAGTTTGGCCAAAATAAATGACTTTTTGAACCTTCAAAGCATCGGATCTTTCATCCATCATTCAACCTTGATCTTGCACTAAATAACTTCTTTTTAGTCCCATCCACCGGAAATAAATTGTAGGATAAAGGTTTCCCGACGTTTCAAAATGCATATTTTAAACTTTTTGTCTCATTTGTAGTGGAAAATGTACTACAAAATGTATTTAACTGCATTTAAAATTGTAATCGATGATCATCTAGTATAATTTTATAGACATAATACTTATTATTAGTGATATACGTTTGTTTTTGATTTTGTGTAAGAAATTTTTTCAGAACCAACTATTACAAGTTGACATGCGATCGGAAAAACTTTGATAATTTTCTTTTTTTTATGTCACATTTCATTTAATAAATACATAAATAAATAAAGATTAAAATTTTGTATAATTTATAATTTATCAAAGACTTACTTTAGTCCTTTTAACTAAAAATCTTGAGCAACCAGTACATTACAAAAAATATGTCAGAACGTAAAAATTACTTCAGAATTTTTCATCCGTTAAGGACGCAGGACACATGTCTGCGATGAGTTTTCCTGTCGGGATAAACTGGGATATATTCACCGGAAATACAGCCTCAGATGCATCCATACCGGAAATGAAATCTCGTAGCCGGAAAGACTAGTTTTTTACGTTTCTATCGGGACGTTATAAATAGCCGTTAAATCCAAGGGGTACAAATAACTTTGCAGCCACCCTTATGTATTTTGGATTGACTGTAGAATATTCGATTGATTGAAAAGAATAGAATGGAATCAGTTGTGGCTTTCTTTTGATGTTGGTAGAGAAGTTTATGCATGGAGTGTGAGGGTGTGTTAAGAATATTTTTTGTTAAATTCTTTTAAGGCTGTTACCAACATTTTAATCAGTTTAAGTATGGTTAATGAAATCGATATTTTGTATATTGACTATTAAGCACTTCTTTTTTGCTTTACGGTTTGTAACCATTTAGTACAATAGGTACTGGTATACTAAAACAATTTTTAATTGAAGGTGATTACTTGGGAATATCGCACTTAACAAAGATCTTAACGATAACTTTTCAACGAAATCATATTCCACTTACTAATTTTGCAAAGGAGTATCAAAAAAAAACCAAATTATTTATTTAAACACATAAGTAATTACGTAAAAATTAAATCTAAGACCAATATTATTATTAACTTATCATGTGTCTTTTAACAGGTATCTTATAGCTGTCTAACAAAATAAAGTAAAATGTTATTGTTATTATACAGTACCTAATACAGTACTTCAAAAAACAGAAAACTTTGCAAAATACTTATTTTTTCAATAGATTAAACAATCTGAAATTTTAACATATGATCTCGTCATTACACATCATTCTCTATTTTTAGAATTGCTGTGTGATATAAATGATATATTTATTAACTTAATTTAAAAGTTTCCTTGTGTCTATTTATTTATATGAATATAAAAATGTATTATGAAGTTCATACACATTAAAATGAAGTAAGCTAGACTATTATCAGGTGAATGCGTGTATATAGTAGTGCATTTGTTTATTTCAGTAAATTCTCGAAATATGAAATGAAGATGGCACTAACTACTAAAGAGTTAATAGCTTTGTCAGAAGACACAGATTGTCAAAATGCTGACTCACTTAATGTTTTTTATTTGCTGCCAAGATTAGATTAGAAATATTCTGATGTAGAAGACATTGATGATATTATTTGTGAAGAATCAATAAAATCGGATCTTGCAGGCACATATGAAATACAAGTGATTGGGAACTCTGACGATTCTGGATATGATATTCATCTGAACCACAGATAAAACGTCCAAAGAAAAAACAAACAAGAGCAGTAAATCCAAATTATTCTCAAGTTGGATAACAACAGATACTCCTTTGTGCTCAGTAGTAATTCAACATCAATCTGATTGATATTTAGACAACACAAAAGACAACTATGGGGGCAAGTCATATATTGAAATTTTTTCACTCTTGTTTGATAAAAAAGTCATTGAGAGCAAGAGCTATATTTTACAAATATTTATGCATCGCAGAATAACCGTCATTATTTTGAAATTAATAACATAGATTTAAAAAATATATATATATTAGCATATGTATATTATCTGGTTCACACTCTGCT